TTTGACACTTGCGCTCAACAAATCACCACAGCTTGGCACAGTGGACAATGCCACAGTTAACCTACCACATTTAAAAGAGTGGTCAAAATTACTTACAATAGAAAAGACCGGGTTTAGAAAAATTTACTAGATGATCTCTTGAATTTTCAGCACCTAATTTTATGTGTAAAGAACACACATTCTGAACTACTTTTCTATGCTACAGATATGACTGAACCCATTAATATCTTTCTAATAAAATTTTAGTAAAGAAATGGTCTTGGGGAAACAGAGAGAGATTTGTTTCCTTTCTAAAGGGTAAGACATACAACATTTTCTCACCACCATCATATCTAACCATCACAACAGCATCACTCACCACCAGGTCTCCAGGCTTCAACTTCTCAGCATCAACCAACCCAATAACGGGTAGGAAATATGTCTGTAGGAAAGAAACCAAAGTAAGCAAACCCAGATGTACTAAAATAAGGTGCTTTGCATCACTCCTCACACCTGGCTGGGCACATGGATCTTACCTGACGTGTGGAGGTCTTGATCACAGCACATTTGCCTTTTCTTTGGGAATCCAGGTCAATGTTTGCTCCATCCTCCTCCTGGTCATTGGGGTCCACATCCAGCAGCTGAAAACCAGAGTGAAAGGCTTCATGAAAATGTAACCAGGCTAGCAGGATGATCCCAGGATTAATGCTTCTAAATTACATGGAGTGGGAGAAGTAAAACTTTCCATCATCCATCAGCACTAGAATCCTGAACGCATTAAAGCTTTCCTGTAAAAATCAATTTCTTCCTTTCCTCAAGAAGCATCACACAACAATGCATAGAAAGACGCTACAAAGTTCAGAACAAAGTGGTAGCTAATGGCAGTGATTCCTCCTCCCATAAGCAGCTCACATTAAGTTCATTAAGTTTTAAAACAGTAGCACAAACCAATTCCATTTTTAAAGATAGAAAACTATCAGCATTTTTTTTCCTATCATCAAAGTTACTGAATTACAAAAAGAATATGATGTAGTAACAGAGCCACCACCTTTCAATTGCCGTGCCACAAGTTTCAGAGCACATACAGAATTTCACATGCCCAAGTCTACACTTAGCACGGCTGTGTCACCCTCTGATGGCTGCTACATACAGATGAACAGTAGCCAAAGCTTAAGAAATGACTCAGACAAGAAGTGGGCAAGTGATGTGCACTTCCAGGTCACAAACAGAAAAACCTGAAAGTCCTGGCTCCAGAAGCATCAGTAGTTTGAGAATACTCCATGTCCTGAATTGCTGCTGAGTTCCCCTCCCTTTCTCCCTGTCACTATATACTGCACACAAGTCTCATGTCACTGCAGAAGAGTCCACCACTCTCACCTCAATAACATTGGAGACAAGGTATGGCAGGGTTTTGTTCACTTTGATCTTCTCACTGTTCTCTTTGATCTTGTCTTTCATGGCCTGAAGCTCATGGGTCACTCTCAGTACTTCACTCTTCATGATCTGGAATTGGTACACAGAGGAAAGAAATAGGAATAGTTGCAGAAGACAAGACAAAATTCACATGTTATTCCAAAAAGTAAACAGTTATAAAAAGTAAAATTTTAGGAAACAGTGGGTATAATGGGAAATGTAATATAAAAAGAGGAAAACCCAGCAAATTAGCCAAAACTGGTTAGGAATGCAGGCTACACAGTCCATTCTGGTCTCTAAACTAATCAATAACCCCAAGGAATTTCTTCCTAGTGTCACCTGGTAGCCTTAGCCTGATCAATGCATCAGCTTACTGGGTTGCAATGTGATCTAGAACACAGTATGACCCAGACAAGGCAACCGTGGTTTGGTTGTGATTTTTTTAATATATACAGATACCCAGGTAACTACATATACACACACGCAGGCATCCATATACACACACCTATTTTACAGTTATGTTTTGCAGGGGATTGGAACCAGATGATCTTTTAGGTCCCTTTCAACCCAAACCATTCCGTGATTCAGCCTGGAGAAGACAAGTTTCCAGGGAGACCTCATGGTGGCCTTTCAGCATTTAAAGGGGTCTCGTAAGAAAGATGGGAACAGACTTTTTTTAGTAAGACCTGTTGCAACAGGACAAGGGGTAATAGCTTTAAACTTAAAGAGGGCAGATTTAAACCAGATATAAGGAAGAATATTTTTACAGTGAGGTTAGTAAAACTCTGTAACAAGTTGCCCAGGGAGGATGTGGATGCCCATTCCTGGAAACACTCAAGGCCATCTTCCTGGAAACACTCAAGGCAGGGCTCTGAGCAACCTGGTCTAGTTGTAGATGTCCCTGCTCATTGCAGGAGGGTTGGACTAAATGACTCTTAAAGGTCCTTTCCACCCCAAAGTATGATTCTACTAACTGTAAGGGAAAAAACCTATAAGAAAAGAAGTTCTGTCCTCACCATCCAACAGTAAGTACGTTTATACCCAAGACTAACATACCCAATACAGGTATTTCATAGTAGTTTCTGGCTGATGCCCACATATGTTTTCGCCCCTTTACTGGTTTGTCATACAGTTTAAAAACACATAGTTTGTGATCCCCACTGAAGTGACTGTAGCACCAGGAGGTCTCAGGAGAACTGGTCACACCTGAATTGGTGTGATTCTGTTTCATGGGGAAATCCACTCTTCTCTGAGAAAATATCTTTAAAACTCTTGATGCCTAAGCATAATACTGTGCTGTAACACATTCACAGGACAAAACTTTTACAGGAGCCAATACAGAATCTGCTACATAAAAATGCAAAAAACTTATAAATTTGATTTAATAAAACAGAATCTAGGAAACATTCAAGGAAAACTGCATGGGAGGACACCAATAAACATTTTGCAATTATGAAGCTCTTAGTATAAAATGAAGAAGGGTACTTTTACTTCTTACTGTATTCTGTAATTTAAAATTAAGACATATTTACCTTTACTGTCCTTAAAGAATAAGAAAGTTAATAAGTCAGAATTACTTGTGGAGCCTGAAGCAGTGTAGGATGAAGTTGCTCTGCAGAATTTATGAAATATTTTATCTCAATACTGCTAACATCAGGCAGCAGACAAACTTATACTAAAGTTACAAGTGCTCTTTTATGCAAAACGGGTCTATCTTGACACAGGTGTATCTAATTAATATCTAAATGAATGAATAAGAAAAGAAGATGGAGTGTATTCTCATCATTTTTGCAGGTGACACCAAACTGATGGGCATAGTCTCAAGGACAGGCCACTCACAGGGACCTTGAGAGACTGGAGGAATAGGCACACAGGAACCTTATAAAATTCAAGGACAAATGCAGAGCCTGCACCTGGGGAAGAAGTGCACCTTGCAATGACACAGGCTAGTGATTGGCTGGTTGGAAACCAGCTCTGAGGACATGGACCTGGGGTGTCCATGGACAGCAAAGTGAACAGGAGCCAGCCATGTACTCTGACAGCAAGGGTGGCAAACAGCATCCCAGGCTGCACTAACAGGAGTGAAGGCAGTAGACGGAGAAAAGCGATCAGTCCCCTTTATTCAGCACTTGTTAGATCCTATCTAGAGCACTTGGCCCAGTTTGCCCCCCCATATAGTAAAGACATTGATAAAATGGACTGAGTTCAGCACAAAGCCATCAAGATGGATAGCGGGCTGGGGCACAGCCCCTCTGAGAAGTAGCTGAGGAAATGGGCTTGTTCAGCTGGAGAACTACTGGGGAAAGTATCAAGACTGAACTAGACACTTCACAGGAATACAAAGAGGGTGGATGAGACAACAAAGAAAGACTGAAACAAGAGACACTCAGCCTCTACGTAAAACAAATCTTTATCCTCACGAGGTCTGTCAAGTGGTGGCACTGAACACCTAGAGAAGTGGTGCAATATCTGTTTTCAGAGCCTTTTAGGATTCAACCAGATAAAGCCCTGAGTAGCCTAGCTTACGGCTCACTCTGCTTTGAAAAGGAGCTTAGCCTGGAGGTCTTCCCAAGTCCCTTCCAACCTGAACTACCCGACGACCCTACCTGTGTCTCAGGCCACAGAAAGATCTCCCTCTCCCCTATGCCTACGAGGCAAGGACGACGGTCCAAGGCTGTGTAGAACAACCGCCCACTCAGTTTCCTCGGGCTTGCTCTCCCAGTGTTTCTACCCTCGAGAACCACCACTCCTCAATCTGCCGTTCTCGATCTAGGTAACCGCGTCTTACTTTCCGCTGCCTTCCCCGCTGCCCCGTGGCTGTGCTAAGCCCGCCCCGAGCTCCAGCAGCGGGAGGCTCCCAAGGCCGAACGACTCGGCCCGGCCGCGCTCCCCGGCCCGGCGGCGGCCCCGGGCCGCTACCTTGATCTCGCTGTCGAGGAGGCGGGTGCGCTGCACGATCTCCTCCGTGGACATCTTCAGCACCTCCTCGCCGACGCCATCCTGCGGGGGCACAACGGCAGCGTCACCCTCGGCCCGGCCTCGCCCCAGCCCCATCCCCGCCGCCCCCGGCCCCAGCTCCGGTCCCTCACCTCCGACTCATCCCACACCGACGCCATCTTTCCGCCGGGCTGCGGGCGCGCACCGGGCGGCGGGTTCGGGGCGGCAGATTCCGCACTGCCCTCGCACGCTCAGGGCGGGAGGCGGCGGGACGGGCGGCCCGGGGCTCCCGCGGCCCCTCCTCTCCCTTGGCGCTGCCGCCTCCCGCACCGCGGCCCCGCGGCCCTCCGAGCGCGGACGTGCCGAATCTGCCGGCGGGGCGGGCGGGGACCAGGCGGTGGGTCACGTGCCCTCCCCAAATGTGCTGAGTGATGGCGCCGCCGCCATCCCGGGGCGGGGCGGGGCGAGGGCGGTGCCCAGAGCCCGGCGGCGGAGGCAGGCGGGGCGCTCTGCCGGAGAAACCCTTTATTACAGTCAGTGCCCGTACAGAGGAGCGAGGGGGAAGGTAGCGGGGTCGGGCCGAGTCTCCGTGAGACACACGCAGGGGAGTTCGAGGACGCCCCCGCAGACCCAGTGGGGCCCGGGAGCAGCTCCGTCCGTGCCCGCGGCCCCGCCGAGCCCCGCGGGCAGTCACACGTAGCCGGGTTTCACCGACAGGCGGCGGCAGTTGGGGCAGCCGCGGGTCCCGTTGGTCTGGAGGCACCTGCAAAGGGAGGAGGGTCGGTTCGAGGCGGCTCCGCGGCCGGAGGCTCCCCCAGCGCCGCTCCCACGGCTATTCCACACCACAGCTTTTCCCCATTTTCCCTCCCGCTCCGCGTAAAGATCTGATCTCTTTCCCTCCCCTTCCGTAGAGGCACTTCAGCACGTTCCTCTACAGCACTACGTGTCTGTGCTGGTGGAGGCAAATCGGGCATCTCTTTCTGCCCAGCAGTCTGATCCTAATTTTGGTGTCAGTGTGAGGCGTTTTTAAATCCTTAATTTTCGTAATTAAGTGTTTTGTTACATCCATCTTTCTTCTAAAAATAAAATGATGGTACAGCTAACTTCTGTCATGGCAGCAGCACAGTAACAGGCTGAACAACTTCACCTCCGTGTGTCACTAGCCAAGAGAGAAAGAAGGGACTCGGGATAAATCCAGACTGCCCCTGGGAGAGAAGAACTGATTCCCCAAGAGGAATCAAATAAGAATCTGTGAACGGTGCTGAATATCTACAAAGTGAGGACATTGGTGAACAATCATTTAGAGGACAGAAGTGTGAGTGTGATGGATGTTATGGCTTAATCTCACCCTTCAAGGGCATGAGACTCACAGCACTGCAATGGGATCCTGCAAGGTACAAGAAGCAAGACAAAGACATGCATAGGACGGTCCTACTCTAAGCATAAATGTCATGACAACAATCTTCCAGCTAATTACTTTAAGTGGAAGAAGTGGGAGCAAGGCAGTGCCTGGAGCTGGTTGTTCTTCTCCCCAATGGACTCTCCACACATGCCACAGTATAGCTCCATCTCCTCCACGCATTCATGGAACTTCACTACATGGTCACGCAATTCTCGCTGCTGCTCCTTTGTTCGATAGATCCTTTCACACAGGCAATGGAGCTTCAGCAGGCCAAGCTGCACATGGACAGAAACATAAGAAAAGTGAACAAGGTGAAGACAGACCAGAAACAGAAGGAGTAAGAACCACTACAGCCCCATCAGCCAACTGGAGAAACGTCAGCAGAGAAAGCTGTCTAAGGGATAGGATCAGTCATAAGGACATTTGGTCTTTCAGCACTTCCTGCTATTAACCTTACTTCTTTGTGTCACAAAAGGTGACACTAGGTTTGAGGCACTCTGCAGCTCTTTCATCAATGGTTTTCCTGAGCTACTCACAACACCCAGTGTATTTCATTTCCCTTTGCCTCCAGCCAGCACACAGCTCCCTTGATGCTCAGGGCAAAAAAATTTTTTCAAGAGGAGACGCCTAATTCTGCTTGTTTCATACCCCATTCTTCTTGCTTCATATTCCCCTTTGCTTATCCCACTGTGACTCCTCGCTGACTTTTCAGACTTGCACACTGATGATTATATGTGCAACAGCCCATGAAAAAACAAAGCAAGTCCCAAGCACTGACTGATTAATACAGACATGTTAACAAGCAATAACAAGTCTGGATACTTTAATGCTTGACTTATGTTGCCTGAGAGTGTGCTGAAGTAAAGCTGTAGGATCCTACCTTGTTCCCTAGTCCCTCTGCCAGCTCCTGTGCCTTTTCAATGCTTTCCAGAGCCTGTGAATCGAGAGCATGCATCATCAGTTCTCAGTCTAATATATCAAAACCAGACTTGTATGAATTTCCTATGGGAAGTATTAAAAGAAGTACAGAGTAAAACTTGGATAAATAAGCATTACTGCAACTCTGGAGATGCAAGATAGGTGTCTGGCAGATTTCCCTCCCCTCCCAACAGTTAATCCATGAGAAAAGCTTAGTTTCTGAAAAACCACAAATAATCCAAGAGCTACATTTATGTTCTAGCCACAGAGTGCAAATATTGGCACAGGCCGATATTTCCAAGAAGAGACAATATAGGCTTACTTAAACTCAGTGACACATGCTCATTGGGGTTGGGATGGAGCACAAGCAAAGCAAGCCTTTTCCCCATCCTACCTTACCGGCTCATTAATTGTTGGGAAACTCCAATTTCACTTGTACAAGAGACGAAGAAAAGGATCAGCAGCAACAATACACCACACTCATCCATTTTTTACCTGCTGTTCATATATCCACTTTGCCTTACTTACACAGGGTGTGATGTAGGAGTGTTCTGCTATCCATTTTCTACATCTGAAGGAAATATTTAGCATAGCAGCTGTCATACCAAATGAGTCCCTACTTTCCCCTAGTTGTCACAGTATTCCTTGATCATTAGTCTCTCTTCTCCAGAACTATTGAGATCTGCTTCAGGTTTGTCCAAGGAAAGAAGAGGTCTCCCTTGTGATGCAGCAGTTTTCAGGAGGAACATTATAAAATTCTTATCCTGTAATTTGGCATTACTTCTATTCTAGAAGAAGAGGACCAGATGAGATGAAAAACTGCACTGTGAATGCAGAGGACATGGCATTACACCTGTGGTGGCAGCAACAGTATAAGGAACTTTTAGAAGAGGGAAGCAGGAATTGAAGGCTAGCAGGGAGAACATAACTGAGAACTGTGCCTAGGAAGACTGAAGGTTTACTGGGAAATCCTGAAATTAATGACTGACTAAGAATCAAAGCGAAGCATGGTGGGATGGGGGGATGGCAGGGAGAAGAGATCTTGACTAGTCCAGGGGACAGTTTATCTTGGACAGGAATGTGAGACTGCAGAGGAATGAGACAAGCAAGGTGTGAGAGCAACCTGGGAGGATCTGCAATAGTGTTGACTACATGCAAATAAAACGGACTAACTAGCCAAGGAGACCAGGAAGATGGAGCAAGCTAGGACAAGAATAGGGACTCTGCAAGTGTAAAGTTAGCAAATTGCTTTATTAGGTAACTGGGATGAGAAGCATAAGAAAATGGAAACTGGGACTGGCAAGTTGAAGATTGGGTGAGTATTCAGGGCTATGACCTTTAAGGAGGCCACATTTGGGCAACAGGCTTATGTCCTCTGACCCACCAGGGCAGACTTCCCTCTAATGCCTGTAACAGAATATGAGATTCATCCATTCTCTTCTGTGGGTTTCGGAGACATTAGGGTTCTGTGCAAAGCTGTCACCATGCTCTCACAAGTGAGAGCTGCTTGTGATATCAGAGAGTGGCAGCAGCTAGAGATGGGATCAGCAGATGTAGGAGTTTGATGAGTGCTCTGAATATTATCTTCTGTAGATGCCTACCTGCTGTGTCCTGTCCTATTCTTTTGACACTGAGAAAACTTTTTAAGTCCACAGTTTCTTCTTTGATTGCTAACATAGTGTTTACTCACTGAGACTGCATGGTGTATCTTGCCCAGCTGATTCCCTGTTGTAGGCAATTCAAATGCTGACAGCACCTTGAACTTGTCTTTTCTGATTGACATATACTTGACATCCTGGTATTTGACATCCTGGTATCTGGGATGCCTCATTTGAGATAAAATTCTTTGTATCTCAATATGAGTGATAAGACCAAATCCTCACTGTATCTAGACCGAAACCAGCATCTTGATGTGGCACCGTGCAGCTCTATTCCAGGTTGTTCACTACTAGGTTCAGGGGTAACCTTTGAGGATTTAATTCTGTGGCTAAATAATGATCCTGCAGTACAATGTGCTGCATGTAGTGCAGTCTGGACTACAATACACATACATGGCCTAAGCATTTTCAAAATAAATAACTTCATCCCCTTGCTCTATATTGTCTATTCGCAAATGACTTTCTGCTCTCATTTCTCTGTTTCACATCAAAGTTTATGGGTTTAAAGTTTCTCCAGGAATTTGATACCACTTTTGCCTACAAAGCACATGGTGGAGCTGTAGAGCTGTCTAAACATCATCATTAGCACATCAGTGAGCTTAGTAATGTAACTAAAAAGTAGGCAGAGGAATCTATTTCAGAGCATTTCAAAGCTTCCTCCCCCCAGTGCTGGTTTCTCAGTGAAGCGCTTGAAGTCATCATGACTGACTTATGAGGCAATTCTGTAATTTGGCAGCCTGACTCAGAATGGATGTTCCTACTATTAGTAACAAATTCCTGGTGAGAGAGACCATTCAGAGAAATGTAACTGCACAAACAACAGACCCCGTTGGTAGAACTAAGGAGCACAGGTTTCTTCTGAACTGCACCTCCATCAAAGTGCAGACTGTACGCTCTAGTCTTGTCTAACAAACTTCTGTAGAAACAAGTTTGTAACTGACCTTGTCCAGCTCCTTCTGAATCATCCAGCACTTGGTCACTCCTAGCAGCACCTGGACCAGGCCCAGGCGGTTTCCAATCTCTGTCATGATGCTCATGGAAGAATCATACCGTGGAAAGGCTGTCTGCAGAAGCAGGGAGGAAAACATCTGTTTTGCTATGGCCTGCTTTTCATACCCTCTTGCTACTCCCTCTATCCTTCCTGGCAGAAAAGAGCTGTACCTGCACATCTTTGCGACTGCGATGGATATCTGCAAAGCACAGCAGACACAGCGCTTGCAGTGGCCGGTCACCATGCTGCAGGGCAATCTTCATGGACTCCTGAAAGAAATTGTCTTTGGTCAGTAGAAGAGCTTCTTCCTGGTTCAAAACAGCAGGGCTGGGACCGTGCACTCTGGCCACTGAAAGATCAGCTCCAAAGAAGTGGCACCACCTTTTACGGCACAGAAAGTCTTTTTCGCATGTTCCCAACCAAGGGTCATTCGTAAACCCAAAGTCTGAAGCCCCCTGGGCTACTAAAACCACAGCTCTAAGGCTGGGAGGCAGCAGGAACATCTAGGGTCAAGAGAGCTCAGTGGCTGCCCGCACCCTGTACCTCACAGCAGTCCATGGCATCAGCCAGGCGCCCCAGCTTCTGGTAGGCCACGGCCATGTGATACTGGCTCATTGCACGGTACTTCAAGCTCCAGCCCTTTCCATAATCATTCACCAGCTCAGCTGCTTTACATGGGAAGAACAAGGCTTTCTCATAGTCCTGTAAGGCAGACAAGCAGACAGACAGCAGTCACAGCAAGAATAAAGCAAAAAGGAAACAAGACAAAACCCCCAACTTTACTAACAATGCAGCATCTAGCAGATTTCTATACAACTTTAAACTCGTTCTGCTCCTCTTCCACAGGCTATAATTCAGTGGACCTTGAACTGTGATAGGTGGAATTGCCATACATAGAATTCATATTATTCTCTGGGTTCAGGACACTGGGGTAATGGCCCAGCAAATGAATTTGATGTAGTATGCCATCAGCTTTTCTCTGCAGGAACCATTTACCCTCCTCTATAACCAAAGGCTAAAAACTTCCTCTGCTCTTAAATCTTCTTTGCTTTCAACATCTACATGGAGCCTTCATGTTCTTCATAGGTGAGTCAAGATCTCCAAGAAGCTGGTTATCCGTCATTGCAGGAAACATTAAAAAAATTAAAAATCACGGCCTCACCCAATTCACAATAAGTAATAATACATTTCATTTCCAAGCATTTTTTGAATTAGAATAATTTTAGAAATAAATCTTATTTTGCAATAATTATGTAAAACTTATCTAAATATCTAAAAGCATTCTCAAGTCATCTTTTTTTTTTTTTTTAATTCTCAACAATGCACAGAGGAAATTTCAACTTTTAAAATTTTCTTTTTCCTTTCTTATTTCATACCTAAAGAAAATAACATTGTGCTGGATACTTTTTATTTTTGGTATTATGAGTGAAGGTTACTTATAGTTTTCCACAATTCAGTTGTTAAGTGTTTTCATTAGTGACAAAACCCACAACTTTGTGAGAAAAACCTATTTGTTGCTGTTTGCACTAGAAATTAGAACTGGCAAATCACCCCCATGCTCAGTTCCTGCCTGGTTTTACCTACAGGGGCTTCCTGGCAGCTATTTGCCTACAGCTGAGGCAGAAATACAGAATCCATGAGTTCTGGCTGCCGGCCCTGTGTGCAGACAGTATCTTCTCTGATGTGATCTTCTTTGAAGCTGAGTTTGATCTTTTCAACACACATATTCACAGCTGCTTCTGCTGTGAATTATAAACATGACATTGATCCTCCTGTCCTTACTGCGAACCAAGAGTACTCCTGATGATTTTACAAAGGGATTTTAGCTTACAATGCTCTCTCAATACTTCACTTCCCATAGGAAAGACATAAACTGAAGTTCACACTATTTCCAATTCTTTCCTGAATCCATGAGACAGTCACCCTTCTGTCCCTTTGGTTACTGCACCTTTATCTGGGTGTAGAAGTTCCCGAGGCTGCAGCAGACTCGACACTCCAGCATCTTGTCATCGTTGTTGTGTGCGTAGCGCAAAGCTTTCTCAAAGCACTCCAAAGCCTTCTGGAAAATGCTGAGGCCCAAGAAGGCATTGCCCATGCTGAGGCTCACCTGGCCATTCAGCTGCAGGCTCACAGTGGTACCCTGCATGTTCAGGCATGTCTTACAGTAAGAGATTGTTTTCTGGAATTCACAGAGTTTCTCATTGCTGCGAGCCAGGTTTAGGTAGCTCTCTGTAAGGTAATCCGGGTCTTCCAGCTCCCGGGCTGTGTCAATCTGTACCACTGCAAACTTTAAGTAGAGAAGACAGTGTTTATAAAAATGTGTAGTTTATTTAAATACAGCTCAAACACCCACAGAGTAGCACCTTATACTGGAGAAGCAGCTCATCTTTGAGCAGGGCAGATCAATCAGCACAGACTGAGAAGCATCATATGCATTAAGCAGTTATCTGGTGGTTTAAAAGGCCTTTGAACATTGAAGAAACCTCTCCCTCTCTCCCCACAGTCTCTGGGACAGGGAAGATGAACTAGGCTGGTGGTTAGTGGAAAAAAGCTGTTAAATGGCCCTAAAGAGAAGCAGGTGAAGCAGGAAATATCTGACACAATGCAGCTCAGTTTTCTTTCACTCAGTTTAATGTGTTCCACTTTCTCTGACATTCTTAAGTTATCAAAGCACTCTATTAATAAAAGAAAGCAAGTGAGCTACTTCTATCATAATTTTTTTCCCCAATAAATTGCAGTCTTGACAGTTTTTGTTCTATAACCTTCAGGATTCATTGCATACTGTTCTCTTAAATTCATTACTCTCTGTTCTCTAAAAGCATGTCTTTTTTTTTTTTTTCAGACTGCAAGCTCTTCTAAGCAGTGACATGTGTTTTGGGATGAACCAAGCACAGTGCAGGCTTGAATTAGTACCGGTAGCAAAGGTAAATATTTAGCAGTTTTCATTAGAGATTATCAATTAGCTTTATGGATGACAATTCCCAAGGGAATCAATTACTTCCTTTTTATATCGTGGCAACACATAACAATTTAAGTTACTAGAACATTTTACATTCTTCACCAAAAAAAAAAAAAAAAACCAAACCCAAACCATAAACAAACAAAAAACCCCAAACCCCACCAACTATAAATTGAGTATGTTTAGGTTTGTGTAGCTTCTCAGTTTCCTTAGTTTAGGAAGGCTGCTGTGTGGATCCAGTGATGTGCATTAGCTCAGCTTCCCATTATTCCCTTGCCTTTGCACAAGTTCTTCATTATTTGCTGATTGCCACAGCTTCTCTTTTCTTGGTGTGAAATAGTTTTTCTCTCAAAAAGAGGTTGAGCATCATAACCCTGCTTAAATCACTGTTTACTTCGTGCCTTTAATTCTGACTTCTTTTATATTGTTATTTCCTCGCTCAGTGACTTATTGCTTATGTTCTCCTTTCCTTATCTTTGGTCACTTGCTGTATAAAATCTTTGGTTTGACTGAAGCAATTTTGCCTTCCTAACACTGGGAAGAACTATAATTTACCTACCCTGATCCCACTTTCTTTTGTGTTCTCAGGTAACAAATGAATGTTCAGGGTATACTAAGCCCACTCCTTTGCTTTGCTTTTTTTTTCCCATGAAGCCTTCAGTATTTCCTTCGGGTAGCTACATCTTACCTTTTTTGCTTCTCTCTTCCCTAATCAGTCTGTTGTTTCTGCCACTACTTAACTGTTTGTCTTCACATGTTTTTCAAGTATATCGATATCCCTCTTCTCTTATTTAGCCTAAGTATTTGGTTTTAATATAGGGCTTTGACATGTCTATGTGTTTACTAGTAAGATGTGCCCCCCTCTCCTCCAATTCTAAACAGAGCTACCAGAAACTTTTCAGTGAGATGTAGACATCCCCTTCCCCTTTTGCTCTGAATGCTGAATGATTACCAGTCTGGTAAGTGGCAACCAAAAACATCAGGACAAGAATATCAAGGCCCTTCAGCAAGACACTATTTCAGGCTGGGATAGTTTCTTAAGACTATTACAACATCCTCTTGCCTTGTCTTACAGCTTCCTGAGTCACCCTCCCAAATGCTGTCTGCTGCTCTCTGTATGCATCCTGTTACTTCTCAGATCCACACATCAGCTTCTTTTTGTTTATCCTTTTGTTTATCCTTTTTTATACTTAAACTGTTTATCCTCATGCTCTCGAAATGTAACTTCAGCTTCTTTTTACCACTCTTCCACCAAGCCCCCTATCCCTCTTTCTTTCTTCTATGCTGTCCTGACAACCAGGAGCCACTCTCTGACCTCAACTGTCAGAAATCTCCTGAAATGTCTCAACTGCCCCATCAAAAAAGCATCATCTTTTCCCTCTTAATCAAAAAAACCCCCAATATCAGATCTATATTAGATATCAGACAGAAGTTGAATAAGATAACAGACATGTTTCCATAAGACCGATGCTTATCCTATAGAATCCACTTGGAGATGTCTCTTTACACTGACATACATAATACAGCTTGAAGTGGAGCAATGGCCCTGTTTTCATACCTTTTCCTGAAGCCTGATAACATGGCGTGCCTGTATGTGGGAAATAAATCAAGAAAGGTCTTCATGATCAACTGGAGAACCTAAATAACCCAGGAATCCCAAGGGGCCAGACCCAGTGAAAAATAGTATTCTGTGTATCTTATAGGCTGGAATTTCTGCTCAGCACAGTAATTACAGCAGCCCACAAGATGCGCTCAAGAGCTGGTATTTTCTGTTATATACAAAATACTCCCCCCACCCCCTGATTTCAGGCTCTAATCTCCAGCCACATTCCATAGCGGGTGAGACACAATGGCATGCATTCATCTCCAGTTTGCCTTACCTTCAGCATGTCTTTGTATCTGCCCATCTCTGCATGAGCAGTGATGAGGCAACCCAAAACCCGAAACCTGCCAGCAGGATCCGCAGACTTCTCCAAAACTCTCATCCAGACTCGCAGGGCCTTTTCGGTCTGATTAGACTGATAAAGATGAAGTCCTTTCTCTATCTGCTGTTTTGTCTGGTCCTGACCCATCTCCCATGCATTAAAAAGCCTCATACACTAACCTCTAAGGACAGCAAAAAGGAAGTGCTTACAAGAGAACACAACCTAAAAAGCCCCACTAGAGGAGGGCAGGTTGTGTGCTCAGAAGGCCCAGAGCCGTAGAAACCCAGCCATGGCAGGGGGGTGGAGCTGTGGTAGGCAGTGGCAAGAAGTGGTTGCTCAGCACTGAAGGCAGAATCCCAAATCTACTAGGCAAAGATCTTCCTCGCTAGTGTTCCATCAGTGCATTTGTCTGTCCAATCCCATAAACACAGACAAAAAGCACAACAGGGAGAGAAAGAGAAAAATCTCAAGCGACAGGAGTGAAACTCAATCTCAGCAGTCAGTGCTGGTCTCCTCCCCATTGGCTGCAGTTGCTCCTGCCAGTCTGGCTCACGTGGCTCCCAGGAATGTTAGTCAGGCTTCTCAGCTCCCAAGGTCACAGTGTGCCAACTGCCCACCCCTGCCCACTAGAATGCAGCTTATAAATACCGCAGGGAGAGACAATCGGCTGCAGTCACAGGGATGCCTCAGTTGTCTCTTTCCTCTCTGGCCATCCTCTTTGACACGCACTGCTGGTGGTGGGCTAGCCTAGGAGGTAGCAGACTCAGGTAGAATAGTAGGAAAAATACACGCCTTAAAAAGTCAGGTATGAACTAGATGAATGCACTTGCAACACTGTGCCTGATGCTTTGCTAGGCACAAAATTCAGCCTCCCTTTTGAAGACCTCATCTGTCAACATGAACTGTTTCTGTGGACACAGGTCAGTTCTGTCACAGATTTGCTGCAAATAAAGGACTGACTTCCTGATTTCAGAAACAAGAAGATAACAATCCTGAAAAACTTTATTCTTGATTAACTGTTGCTTCCTGCCATTAAATGCCTGTGGCAGTCCTCCAAGAGTTTCTAACAGAAGTTGTCAAAGGCACTGCTGACACTCTGCATCCAGAACTTGCTCATCTTTCATAATGAATGACAATAAAGACACAGAGCAACAGATTTCTGCACTTTCTGACTGCATGAGAGAATTCTTAGCCCAATTAGAATAAAGATTCAACTCTCCCACACTCCACTGAAAACATAAAAGTTAGACTGGTTCCTCTAGGAGTAAAGTTTCATACCCTTATTGATGTGCTGCATTTTTAATGGCCACAGCCTTGGTTGTCTATAGACTGACTCTGCCCTTCCTCGGAAGATACACCAAACCGGGGGGTGGGAGGGCAGGTAGAGAATGCCTCAGGGATATCTAATATTTTTTCAACACAGAAGTCCCAGGGACCTGGCTTGGGATCCTTTAACTAGGGAAAGAGAAGCAATTGCAACTTGGAGTTTTAATAACACACCCACCTGTAAAAGCAGGCATGTCTCCAGCTGCCTCCCTGCTTCTATGTGACTTTGGTGGCAGTTCTTCCCCAAGCACAGGTAAATACCAGCAGAATTACCTCACAGGCCACCAATTGGACCATCCTGGCCTGTGTCAACACAAACCCAAGGGTGCATTCCTGAGGCAATATCCCTAAGGAAAGCAGGACACAAAATAAGGAACCAGAGTCTACCCTGAGGCTTTACATCATAGCAGTTATGATCTTAAGAGATTACATCTGTGCCTTTATCCAAAATTTCCTCAGAAAAAATTATTTTCAAAAGAAGAGCATATTAAATTGTAGAAGAGTTTTACTCAATCAGACTGATTCTCTTTTGGGAGCTTATATATGCTATGATATTTGCATTATTTAATTTAGCATTGTTTTTCAGAGAGGTAATGTGCTAGATGATGTTTCAGCACAGACTATGTGTACTCTCAAACTATGGAAGTAGAAACCGTGGAAAAAATCTACAAAAGCTGAAGAAAAATACCAGTGGTTAATGTGCAAAAATCACTTTATCAGCACCACTAAATATTATCTAGTGACTTTATAGGTTTTAAGACTCCCATAGAAGTCCAATTCAAAATTTTAAAAAGTCTCTCTTCCCTGCAGTAATTTTTATATTTCCCTCTGAGGGTGGGTGGTGGGATGGAGACAAGAACCTGAAGATCGATCCCCATGGAAAGCATTGGATAATGGTGAGACCGTAAAATTAAGAGGCCAGGGAAGCAACACTGGAGCCTGCTATATAACAGAATCAGGGCTCAAGAAGGGGGAAAAAATTCTTTGCTAAATCAGCCAACTTTGCAAAATTAACCTTCCACAAGTGACCTGCCTGTAACTCAAACTCATCCTGATGCTTTGGGACCACTCAGCAAAACACTGCTCCTTCCCCACATAGCACAGCCAAAGTTAACAGAGGATGCCTTGCAGCCTGACAAAACCTACCTAACAGGAATGATCTATCGTGAATTTTGTTAATCACACTGGACTTCCTTGCTTTTGAGTTCTCCTATGAAATAATTCTTAGTCTCTTAGGAATCAACTCACAACTCACATGTTGAGATAGAAACTTATCTAGTAAAATAAGGGCTAGATCCATCAAGTTCACACTGGTCATCTTCAAAAACCAGGAACATGCTCTGAAATGGAACATCCCACTCTGAAGATAGTGCCTACCTAAATAAGGAGGGATTAAAGATTGATACTGATTGCCCGTACTGCTTCAAAAAAGTAATGGCATCAGTCTGTGGCTCAAGACAGCTCTAGTTCATACATGATTCAGGTACAGCTTCTACAGTAAATGATCCCCGGTTGCTTCTCAAGATGTGCAAATAAATAAGCCTGATGGTGCCTGGAAACACCCAATGATGGAATCTCACCTGTCACACAGGAGAGCTATATATGCAGTGTGGCTAATCATGCATTCACTTCTTCTGAGTGACCACACCGAGCTGCTTGTCCTTCTCCCCGCTGCTCTTCATAACAAGGCCCTGGTGACTCCTGGCCATATGAAGACAGCAGAACATGGCTGGTAAAGTCAGGAAGATCAGAGACAGGAGCCCAAACAAGTAGTGGAAGTGGAGGTGGATGTGAGAGGAAAACAGATTCTCCTAAAACATTCAATATCAGGATTTTGCCTTCAACTCTGTATATTTCCAACTGATGTTGACCAGTGTAACAACTCATCTGAAAATGCACATTATTTTCAGGGATTAATACACTGGCTTTAATTTGTAGTTCAATTGTCTACTTACTGGTGGTAGCCTTTTAAATTAAAGAAAAAAACTTCAAAACCAAACAAACCAACCCCCACCACCCCCCAATGTCAGTTCTGTAAGATACAACTGACAAAGCTTTGCCTGTGTAAGACCAGCCTAGCGAACTGTTTGCACAAGCTGGAATTCTCCATTCTGCCTAAAAACCCCTCTTTTTCTGATGCCAATTGTTTCTCTCCATCCTTCACCTCAAGTCATATCTCAACTGAAATCTCTCCAGCCTCTCTTCTCAACAGCTGCAAATTAACTGCAGGGATCCCAGCACACCCTGTAACAGGTGGCTCAGCGCCTCACTTCGCAATTGGAGCGCTGCAGGGCAAGGAATGCAGCACTGAACCCTGAGGCTTGAAGATGCTGTCAGATTTACAGTCACGTAGGAAGTAATGGGGTGAAACAGAGTATGCCAGATAACTGAGGAGAAGGACACAGAGGAGAAACATAGCTGCCCTGAAAATGCTTGTAGTCTCTGAGATGCAAGACAGCAGGAGGAAGGAGTAACATCACGGAATTTTAGGAGCTTTCAGAAATGTGGCAAAATCATGGCCATTGTGGTACCTTCCTTCTGAGAGAGGCACTGTTAATGTCAAACTTGTGGAGAGTTTCCCAATGAATTATGCTTTGGCTATGCCAGAAATTTTTTATTAATTTGAAATGAGTTGTAAAGGTATCTTAGTTCTAACCACAAAGCAGGCAGCTTTTGCTTATTACTAGTCAGTAATCCAAATCCATTTGGAGTTCCTATGCAGTATTTCCAGGACCAGGAGCACTGGAGGCTGCAGATACCTTCATACTGCAGAACCAGGACAGATTCAGCAAGCTTAGCTGGAAGGGGTAAGGAGGTGGTGGTGGGTATGGGGCTTGTGAGAGCGGTATCAGTTGGTGCCTAATCCCACACACCACCACGCGCACGTGCCGTTCCTGCTGGAGTCTGGTGTTACGCTGAAGGTATTTAGCCTTTGAAACTCCATTAAACGCAGAGCACGGACAGGCAAGTGGCCACATGGCACCAATTCGGTGAGGCTGGATACGCCTACACCTCACTCTGCAGTGTAACCCGTATTCACATTATCCAAGATTCTCAGTTTCTCTGCATTTAACGCCTAAAGGTGACTCGGCTGTCAAATGTTACAAAGTGGAGATGTATCAACCAAAAAATCTTTTCAATTTCTACTCAAAGTAGCTTGTCTACATGGAAGTTAAAATCCTGGGCTATACTGTACATCCAGAACAAGTGGTATTGGGCCATGAAAATTTTTGTGGCTCACAGCCAAGAAACTGGAAAATAGTTCTCTTCTCTCTCCTCATCTTCCCATGCTTGGACCCCAAAAGAATCTCAAATTTAAGACACAAATACCACACACAAGGACTCTTCTCAAACAGTTTAATAGCAAATAAACAAAGGAAGGTACCACACTTGGCATATACAAAATGACTTGTTGTTGGTGTGTCTGTGCAATTAAAACAGCTTTAAGTTGCCCTTTGGGACAAAAAGAAAAAAAAAAACACACACACAAAAGGAAGAAAATTCCTTTAACACATACTCGCTTGTTCCAAACTTGTAACAAATCTTTTCATTTTTAAATCCACTACACAAACTCTGTGATCAGATCAGAAAAGCAACATGCGCTCCTCTGCTTTTTAAACCATTAAAGTAAATTTTCTACAGAGTACAACACAATTTCACACAAAAAGACATTTTGTTTTGCAAATCAAAACAAGAAAAAAAGGAACAGCTCAAACAAGGTAAAGAAAAGCATTTCTACGACTGAACCACGACTTCGAGTTGATTAAATCCTGTTACTGCAGAACAGACTCTACATTTGGTCATAGTGGCAATTTGTTTTCTCGTCACATTGTGAATCACTTTACATTGTTTTCTAGTAGAAAAGGCAAAAAACTGTACAAAACCCCTAGTGTTAAATACAATGTTTGTACCAATAAAAAAGCCCACAGGTTTGTCTCCAAAATGTAAATTTTCTTTTTAAATTATTCACAAAAAGCAGCCAAAAATCAGAAAGGCAGCTGCTGCTCCACTGTCTCAAATCCATTAAAACCACCACAGAACAGTTAAAACAACCAAAGGAAGAAAAGGAAAGAAGAAAGGAAAGAAACACCCAACATTTGGCATTTTGGTTTTCTTCAGATA